TTTTTGATTAGTAATATGCATTGCTAAGAACTTAATTTGAACAACTTTAAAGGCGATTTTCTCAATATTTAGATTTTTTTGCACCCTCAGATTCCAGATTTTCAAATAGTTGTATCTCAGCCAAATATTGTCCTATCCTAACAAACCAGATGATGTATAAATCTCAATTTAAAAAAATTGACCCTTATGACTGTTTTTTTATTGCACATTTTATTGCTTTGAATAAACGTGCATTAGTAATATTTTGCTCGATGCGCCCTCTTGTGGCCTCAGGAGAGAAGCCAAAAGCTTTTTTCCCTCCTAACTGAAATTATGCCTTTTAAATTAGAATATAATTCGAATATTGATAATATTTAAGTACAAAATTCGAGTTTAGTTTTTATTTAATACAAGTTAATAATTTCAGTGCTTCAAGGTTTTAAATATGACTGTTTAGGTTTCCATTAATTGTATTTTTCAGTTTTAGTCTGTTTTAGTTCAGTTTTACTTTTTATTAGATTTTTTTTAGTTGTAGTTTTTATTTGTTTTTTATTCTATAGCTAGTAATTTTATTGCTTTAGCTTTTTTACATATGACAATTTAAGTTTAATTTCAGCTTTAGTTTGTTTTAGTTCAGTTTTAGATTGTATTCATTTCCATTTAATAATTTTAGTCCTTAAACTTTTTAGGTTTCATTTTACTTTTAATCTGTTTTAGTTCTGTTGTATTTTTTTTATTTGTTTATTTTATTTTACAGTTAGCAATTTTAGTGCTTAAGCTTTTTTTAAAAATGACTATATAAGTTTAATTTAATTGCAGCTTTAGTTGTTTATTTCCAGTTAGTAATTTTAGTGCTTCAACTTGAACTTATTTAGCTGCCAAGGCAGCATTTCAGACCAACACAATAGTTTGTTTAGCCATTTTGACAGCCCTGCTGCAGACACGTTATTATGAGCGTGTCTAAAACGCATCACAAGAACGCATGCTGATGTCTGTGTTCCCGCAGGAGCTCATGCAGCAGAACGACATCGCTTACGTGCTCAACGCTAGCAACACCTGCCCCAAACCAGACTTCATCCCCGACTCGCATTTCTTGCGCGTTCCTGTCAACGACAGCTTCTGCGAGAAGATCCTGCCCTGGCTGGACCGATCCGTGGAGTTCATAGGTCAGACACCATCATATATGTATGCGGGTCAAAGACGTTAAGATGTACGCATCAAAAGAAATTTACAAAAGTGATTTTATGTCCATAGAAAGCACATTAAATGTAAGTAAAGTGTCTAATTTTAAGTTTTTGGAGAATAAAATGTCAAAATTTGGTTGAAATAATGTTACATTGTCATTCACTGTAACACAATATTTATGTAAAAATTCAAACAACATGCTTATTCTGACATATTCAAATATATAAAAGAATAAGGGAGCATATTCAATTGTATTGTGTTTTAAATGAGTAAAAAATTCTTACTGACAAATGGGCAAAACCTAGGATAGTGGCAAATTTAAAAAATGTAAAATTACAACTAATTAGTATTTGGGGTGAAAGTAATTAGTCTTTTAATATGTCATAAATTGATTTTTGTTGTAAATATGCCTGACAAGATTGTTACACTGAATGACATTTTAGTGGGTCTCTTCTGTAAATCAGGGGAAAATGTATGATATTTATTTTTTGCTCAGAAAAACAAAAACAAAAATACAATGACATGAAACGGAAAACTTTGTACTTTTTTTTTTTTGAAAAACAACAACAATTTAAAACAGTGTTTGCTTGCATCTTTGGAATTTTAAATTTTTAAATTTTTCCATTCCAGAGGGAACGTTCCATGGCCATGGAAGTTCAGGAAAAGTCTGAGCGTTTTGGTTTAATATAATCAATCCAAAAAAAAAACCTTCTTAAAGAGATATTGTTTTTCATCACATATATATTATTTAATATAGCAAACCATTCTTCAGCTGTGGCTCTGGTTTTAACCATTTCTTTTTAATTACTTTTTTACTAGCTGCCAGAAAAATGAGTTTCTTGTTCCACCCACGTCTTTAGAGTTTCTAATAATATTTTTAATTCTTATTTTCAGTTTTCATTTTATTACATTTTTTCGTTATTTATGTTATGTGCTTTAATAATTTTTCTTCATTTATTTTTTAAATATTCACTATAGTTACAATTTTTGTTGTTTGTTTGTACAATGTTTTAGTTTGTTTTAGTTCAGTTTTTGTTTTTGTTTATTTCATATTTAGTTTTTTATTTAATCCCAATTAATAATTTTAAATTAATCATTTTAAAATTTTGGTTGCATTTCATTTTGTTTTTCAGTTTCAGTTATTTATTTTATTATTATTATAATTTTTTTTTTTTTACAGTTTTGTTATTTTATTTTAAATATTACTATTTGTTTAATTTAATTTAATTTAAGTTTTATTAAGTTTTAGTTTTTATTTAATACCAGTTAATAATTGTAGTGCTTCTGCTTTTTTAAATATTACTCTTTATTTTTATTTGTTTCCATTTTAGTTAACATTATTTCCAGTTTCACAGGTTTCATAGACACAATCAGACATGCTCATGTGACTGTAGAAGTAATAATGAGGGTCATGTTGAGAGTGGGAGGTCAGCTGACAGGAAGTGTTTTTGTGTGTTTCCTGTCAGAGAAAGCCAAGGCCAGTAACGCCAGAGTCCTGGTCCACTGTCTGGCGGGAATCTCTCGCTCGGCCACCATCGCCATCGCCTACATCATGAAGAGGATGGACATGTCGTTAGATGAAGCGTACAGGTACTACAGCAGATTCTGTGAGCCTTAATTCATCTGTGTTAATTAAAGGGTGAATCTCAAACATGCCCAGCTCATATTTCAGTATCAGATCAACAGAATCTTCCTCGTATTGTGATATTATTATTATTATTATTATTATTTTGATGACAGTTCAACACATTCTGACTACTGTCATGCAAAAAATGTTACTTACACATGACAGTACTTGTTGAGCTGAAATTAATTTGTAGATATCTTGCAATTCTGACTTTCTCGCAATTTTGACTTTTTTCTCGTAATTGCAAGTTTAAATCTTGCAATTTGGACTTTCTCGTAATTGTGAGTTTATAACTTACAAATTCTGACTTTTTCTCGCAATTTTAACTTTCTCTCACAATTGCGAGTTTATATCTTGCAATTCTGACTTTTTTTTCTCGTAATTGTAAGTTTATATCTTGCAATTTTGACTTTCTTACAATACTGACTTTTTATCGCAATTCTGACTTTTTCTCGCAATTTTGACTTTTCTCATAATTGTGAGTTTATATCTTGCAATTCTGACTTTTTATCGCACTTTCGAGTTTATATCTTGCAATTCTGACTTTTTTTTCTCGTAATTGCGAGCTTATATCTTGCAATTCTGACTTTTTCTCGTCACAATAGTAATTGTGAGTTTATAACTTACAAATTCTGACTTTTTTCTTGCAATTCTGACTTCGCAGCTCTAATGACATTTTTTAGAATTGTGAGATAAAAACTTTCAATTATCGATCGATCTCAAATCTGTGTCCGTTCGCAGGTTCGTGAAGGAGAAGCGTCCGACCATCTCGCCCAACTTCAACTTCCTAGGTCAGCTGCTGGACTTCGAGAAGAAACTAAAAAGCGCGGGCGCTGCGCCGCTCAAACCCCGACCGCCGGCAGACGAGCAGAAGCCGGAGCCGCTGACGATGCCCTGCGTTCTGGCCGGCGTCCCCGAGGAGCATCTTCTGGCACGGGCGCTCTGCGGCCTTCAGCTCGGCGAGGAGCCGCAGGAGAACGTCCGGCCCAAACGCTCCTTCTCCCTGGACAACAAGTCGTACGGCGAGTCCGGAGCGTCTCTGCGAGCGTTTCCCGTCGGTGAGCCCTGCCAGTTCTCGCCGGTGCAGGAGGTTTCGGAGCAAAGTCCGGCTGAAGATAATAATAAGACACTCCAGCGCAGCGGCAGCATGGATGGAGCTCCGTCTAAAACGGCTAAAGCACTTAAAGGCTGGCACTCAGACATCGTCCTCGGGCCCGTAACCGGAGGCTGGTTCCTCTCCTCCGAGTCGGCGCGCTTTTACGGCTGCGCTCAGGGTCTGGAGGCAGTGAGGAGGCGCGGGCGACAGCGCAGCGGAGACGGAGGAGACTCTCGCAGGAGCTGGCACGAGGAGAGCAGCTTCGAGAAGCAGCTGAAGCGCAGGAGCTGCCAGATAGACGGCATGACGGACAGCCGATCCCGAGAGGAGATGAGCACGAGGAGCAGCCAATCCAGCTTCTCCGGCAGCTTGGAAATCATCGAGGTCTCCTGAGGACTCCACACGCAGTCATTTATTTCTTTGCTTTGTTCTCATTCAGATTTGAACTCCGCACAGACACATGCATGAAGGTGGAGAGTCTCACAATTCAAATGAAGGCAAGACACTACAGATAAACAGGGCAGACCTTAACCCCATAAGTGTCCCATTTTTGAACAATAAAAATAACTAGTTAATCCTAATATACAGTCAAACCAAAATTTATTCAGACACCTTGAACAGTCCTCTCATTATCACAGTTTATTTGCTATAGTTTAGAAAATGGTAATAAAATATGACTCTGTGTCAGAACAAACTCATCTTGATAATGTCAGATAACTTTGATAGAAAGGTATGTAATGAATTCAGCTGTTAAATTTAAGAACACAATTAGATAATACCAATCTAGCTCAACCGGTTACCAAGCAATGCTTCATTTAGTTCAGTCTGTGGTGTAAAAAGATCACATTAGCAATTAAAGAAAAAACAGTTGAGCAAAACATGCTCAGGTCAAAGTGTCTGAATCATTTTTGATCCCAAATTGTACTGTTAGTCCACTGTATGACGAGTTTTTGGGTATAATATGTCACATGCCACAGTTCACTTTATTTTGCTCTCCTCACTTACATAAATGAACTATAGTGTCCTGCACCCACTAGTAAAAAAATATCAAAAAATCTGGAGTCTGAATAATTTTTGGTTTGACTGTACATCACCAGCTGATTGATAACATTAAGAATTACAAGTATTAAATATATAGATTTAAAAATATGCATAATTATTTAATTTATATGCATAATTCAATGTCAGAATTAGTTAAAATGCAATAAAATAAACACTTAAATGTGTATTTTGGATGTTTTTTAATCCACTAGTCTGAAAGAAGAAGCAAAATAGAGCTCAAAACTGAGCAGTGCATTAAAACGCCTGTAGTGTCTTGCCTTAAGAGCCTCTTTTTGACACGCATGTGTTGAATTATGATCTCAGGAAGTTGCGAATCTGTTGGAGATCTAACACACAGACAAACACACACACACAGACACACACACACTCTGTTTCTCTGATTCACTGATGCTGCATCCAAAACCCTTGAACCTCCAGCAGCTTCTTCACACGAGATGTCAGACCTGATGAGACACAGACGAGAAACACTTCATTAGTCTGAGCACTTTACAGCCAGAAACCCTCTCTCCTTCACTGGTGCTTTAGTGCGGAACAAACGATCCTGAACAGTGTTGATGTTCATAGACTCATACTGAGCTGTGCAGGTTTGCCTTCTTAACGGCTCACCAGAGGTCATGAACTTGTTCCTCAGATCACCGGTCATCGGCATTGAATCGTCTGTTCCAGGATCAGCTGTCGAGCGCCATAAAGACTCCTTCAGACCGTCCTCTTCGCGCTGAAACCCTCTTCCTCTGATCTGCGTTTGATGACTTTGAACAGAAGGACAGAGTCAGAGTTTCCTAAAGCTGTGAAAATTGAGCTGAAGACAGAACGAATCACTGAATCACGAGTCTCTGAATCACATTCGACATGCTTTTACACAGGCCTCAAATCTACAGTGATCAATGTTTTATATTTTTACAATAAAGTCAAATGACTGATATAATCATTCCTTAAGTCAGATCAGCCATTATTTTTATTTTGTACCGCTGAGAGTGTTTCTGGAGATATTAATCAGTAGCTGTTTATTAATTGTTGAAATAAAACACAAGTGGTACTTGAACATCTTCAGCTGTCTCCATTGAAACAGTAAGGCGTTTAGAGCTGATCTTCATCTGGATACATAGGTGGCGCTGTGACACACTCGTGCGTGAATACATGATAATATACACTTGATAATATATAAAACACCATTTTACTGTATCCACTTTATTTCGCAGACTGTGTGAGACTTTTGTTTCATTAACCACTATTGGTAAATAACTACGATTAAAACTAGGTAAACTCTAAAAACTATTTGCGCCACAAACCAGTGTGTTTATGATTATGATAATAAATCGTATGATAACAAATACCAGTTTGTAATCTCAAGTGACATAACGGACTGTTTTTGTGAAGCTAAAATAACAACGCAAATAACAATGGGTGTGGACCGCGATTGTGATTGGACCGCAGATGATCACGTGATCATGTTCTCCTCATGGAAATGGATTTTTAACAATTAAGTTGCTGACAAACCTGTTGGTCTGAGCTCTGAGGTTGTTAATCGTTTGTATGCACATTTTTCGAATCCATCAGTCCGCGTGGTGGAAAAACTACATTTCCCAAGATGCTGTACAGAAGAACCCACCAATCAGCGAGCAAAGCACTCCAAAAGCGATCTTTAGCTCCGCCCGATTTAATATTTATAGCTCCGCCCACTTCGAACGAAGCACCCCAAATTATGTAATCGAGTCGGTCTCCCTACGTCATAGACTGTATAAAAACATGGACGTAGTGTCCGTGACGTCACCCGTAGATTTCCGAAGAGCGTTTTTGAAGCTCAAAGTGGGCGGAGGCGGCCGTCGCCATCTTGGCAGCGTCACCGCGCGTCACTCCCGGATAATCGAAAATGGGCAAAGAGGCGGGAGCAGGTTGGTGAAGCCACGCCCACCTAGCTCGATGGTGGTGACAGCAGCGGCAATCCACCTGTCACTCAAGTGGCCACGCCCTTAATTATGCAGAACTTTAAGGCTTAATATAATTTAAAGGATGAGTTATAAAAAAATTCACAGATGCGTTTTATGTTTGTGTCCAGCAGGCGGCAGTAACGCGTAAAACAGTTCTTCTAACGCGATTCGCTTTCTCTGAAGAATCATGGGTAATGTAGTTTTTCCACCAGGAATACATCTCACCACGATCTTTTTGTAATTCTGAATCTGAAACTCTCACATATTTATTCTATAATTACAATTCTTCTAAAGATTTTTGGAAGCAGGTGTCGATGATTTTTGATACATTCTTCAAAGTTATTAAAACACACGAATCTATAATTTTGGACTGTAATACTGGCTCAAGGTAATAATTCATCCTGGGGTGTTTAATATACATAAAGCTACAGTAATGTCTATTACACCCTAATTAATTTTATTTTTCTGTAAAGATCTTACAAATATTTTATGACTCATTGAATTAAATTACAAGAAATACGAAGTGTATAAAATATATTTTATATTAAAAGAAATAATTTGCAGAATCTAATACTTTACCATGTATTATGTAGTAAGTAAGGTGTTATCCCACATTTTTGTTTGACTTGTATGCATTGCATGTTCTTTTAAAGTTAAATGAAATAAGAAAATAAAAGAAAAGATCGGGCTATGATTGACGGCTCTGAGTGACCAATAAAAACGCTTCCAGTAAGACCCGCCCCTCGGAAGAGGACTGACGTCAGGATTCCCCGCCCTGCCACTTCCTCTTTCACAGCGGCCGTCAGCGAGAGACACCATGAAGGCGTCTGGCACAGTACGTAAAATCCTTTTTAAATCACTTCACAGTCGCTTAAACCTCACAGCTATAACCCGAAAACACACATAAGGCACTAAACTATCCATAACAGTGACTTAACCCGACACACGTTTAGGATTGAAGCGCTAGTTTTGCTTTGTCGTGTTGATTGTATCGGAGAGAAACATGGCGGCTGTAGAATGGCTCCATGTGCTCATCATTGAACACACACTCGTTGTACATCTCAGGATTTTGAGGTAGTTTGCTGTCCAACGCACTCTCAAGGTACTTCTTCTCACATTTTAGCCAGTGTTGTTAAAGTTAAGTGCTTGAAGTCACCACAGGCGTTGTTTTCTGAGCGTTAATCCCTATCGGTTAGCACGAAGCGCCCGTATTCTAGGCTGGTTTAGTGTTGATATGATTATTTAGTGCGCTTTTGCGTAAATGTGAATCAAGAATAGGTAAATCTAGATCAGGCAAACGTGCTCCTTCCCGCAGAGTTTAATTAGTAAACTTTGAACATGTTAACTTGCTGCTAAAAGTGTCAGCAAAAGAGAAACCTACGGTGGCCGAGAAGTGCAAAGCAAATCACAATTCTGAAAACAAAATAACAAATTACAAACGCAAATGCAAGTCTAAAAAACAAAATAACAATTCAGAAAGCACAACAAGAAGTCAGAAAACACAATAAGTCAGAAAACACAATGACAAACCGGAAGAGGTAGGTATAGTTTGAGACAGCGCCATTGGTTTGGGATTACTCACCGCTGACTGGACGAGACATCTGTCAATCAACATATACAGGAAGAACCAGCCGAAGAACAGCAGAGTGTGGTAGAAAGTTCGGAGATTGTATTGAAGTAGCTCAGTTTAAATGTATTGTATGAATTGCCCTTACTCTGGAATAAAAAACACGGAGTGTATATTTACATTTAGTTAAAAGTGGCAATAAAACATCAGCTCCGGTGGTGCAGATGGATAAGCGCGTCGTTGGCTTTTTGACTGATCGCCCCGGGTTTGATCCCGCCTTTTGCCGAATTTTTTTTCCTCCCTTTTCAAATCTCGTATCACATCGTAAAGGCATTTATTTTCAATAAAAATTAAGGAAATAATCAAAAAGTTGAAAATAAAGTATCGGGTAGGGTTAGGGTAGGTGTAGGGAGGGCTTTATTTTATCAATAAGGTTGCATCCATGTAATAATTAAAATTAAAATTATAATTTACACTCAATACGTTATTATTGCATACTGTTTTATAATGTACTCCAATGCCGAAGGGCAGATAATTGCCACTATTTGCAACAAGTAGTATACTTGATAGTAGAAATCCTGCTATTTTAACAGTGTAAATAGGTATTTGCACTTAGTGTAAATAGCATATTGCTAAAAATACTGCTATTTTCACTTAGTGTAAATAGAATCCATTGCTAATACGAGATTTGAAAAGGGAGGAAAAAAAAGTTTGGCAAAAGACAGGATCGAACCCGGGTCAATCGCGTCAAAAAGCCAAGGGCACGCACTTATCCATCTGTGCCACTGGAGCTGATGTTTTATTGCCACTTTAACTAAATGTAAATATACACTCCGTATTTTTTATTCCAGAGTAAGGGCAATTCATACAATACATTTAAACTGAGCTACTTTAATACCATCTCCGAACTTTCTACCACACTCTGCTGTTCTTCGGCTGGTTCTTCCTGTATACGTTGATTGACAGATGTCTCGTCCAGTCAGCGGTGAGTAATCCCAAACCAATGGCGCTGTCTCAAACTATACCTACCTCTTCCGGTTTGTCTGATTTGTCGTTGTGTTTTCTGACTTATTTTGTTTTCGAATTTGTCATTGTGTTTTCTGACTTGTTATAATGTTTTCTGAATTGTTGTTGTGTTTTCTGAATTATTTTGTTTTTTAGACTTGCATTTGCGTTTGTAATTTGTAATTTTGTTTTCAGAATTGTGATTTGCTTTGCACTTCTCGGCCACCGTAGAAACCTCAACGAAATAGACATCAATTGTAAAAGACCTAATAATCCATAGAAAACGGCAAAAACATTACAACTTTTCACTTAGAAACTGCAAATAAGTTCAAAATACTTAAAAAGAAATGGCAGGTAAAAGTCACTTTTTTTTAATGTAGAAAGATATTTATACTATATTTATGCTTAATATTTTCTTAAAACGCACTCTGATTATCATTATTTACAACTTGAAATAATTTTCTTGCAGTGCAAGTTTACATCCTTCTCTAGTCATTCACACCTGAACTAGTTCAAGTATTCAGATTCGGGTTTCCTTGAACTAATGTGATTTGTGTTGATCTCTGAATGTGTTTTCTGTCTCTCTCTCTCTCTCTCTCTCTGCAGCTTCGGGAGTATAAGGTTGTTGGGCGTCTCTTGCCCTCCGCTAAAAACCCCGCGCCCCCTCTGTACCGCATGAGGATCTTCGCCCCAAACCATGTGGTGGCCAAGTCTCGCTTCTGGTACTTCGTCTCCCAGCTGAGGAAGATGAAGAAAGCCTCCGGAGAGATTGTCTACTGCGGCCTGGTACGAATAGGGCTGTTTGATTCCCAGATGGGTTTTGGAGTCGCCTCCCGTTGCCTGATCGGTATTTGTTAGTTGTATGTCATGTGACACTCAGTATTACAGAATAATACTGACGACAAACCTCAGTTTTAGTGAGGGTAAGGTGATGATCAGCAATATACGTTCACACATACAGCTTTATTTCAGTGCTTCAGCTACACATACCATGACTTGGTTGTTAGAAATGCATAAAAGAGCATCTGCAATAGTATTTTTTAACCAATTTATTATAAAGAATAGCCCGAAAGTTTGCTGAAATGAGTCCGACATCCCATCCCTATTAGTGAGCAAGAGATGTGATGAATGGTTCACTCCATTGAAGGCTGTTAAAGAAGAGTTGGTGACGGAGTGGGGGTCCATTCCCTTTGGCCATGAATTTCACAAACAACTTTGCGTTCAGCATGCACACACAAACCCAAAGGTCATTTCTTCCCAGTGTCATGCCCTTGCCATGTGTGCGGAAAGAAACACTGAACCTTGTCGCCTTTCATTGGCTGTAAAATGTGCCGCTGAAAGTGAAATCAAGGTGCGACACGATCCTGCTGCACGAGCGATGCTGCTGTGTTACTCTATAGCAGCCGTCGTTTATTATTTGTGAAAACAGGAATCGTTTTTGGTCGTGGGTCTATTCTAGTGCTGGGTAAAAAATATTGATATCTCGATATTAATCGATTCTCATTTTTACGGAACGATATAAATTCTTAAATCCGAAGAATCGATTAGTCTAGTCTGTTTTCAGTTAAAGGACGGAATGTTGAAGGGCACTTCCCATCAAATATATCGCAATAAGCTTTGTGCTTTGATACTTTCAATATGAAACAAAGTCTCAGATTTCAAATTCTGTCCACTGCAGTATTCAAACAATAAATGCCGTTTTGGCGCTGTTTAATATGGAGTGACAGATCGCTGTAGCGCCTCAGTGAACTGATCATCTCCTCCACTTTATTACTAGTTATAGCACAAAATAAACATGACTAAACATCCGAAGGTAAGTTAAAAGAAAGAGTACAACTTTACAATCCGTATCCTGTCTCATGTAATCACTCAATCAGTGTTTCGGCCGCGCAAAGACGTCAATATAACGGCTTGTAAACAATGTCACGTCACATTTACCTCAGAAAAACATATTCTGTGACCATAAACTCGTTAGTCAGCTAGAAAAATAAACTGTAGAGAGGGGAATTTTGCTGAATATATGCACCAACATATTCATTATAAATATTACTGTTCTTCAATGTTTAATTTGTTTGAATAAATCCATCAAGATTTTTTGACGGCCACCATTGTTAATAGTTAAAAAATAATAAATTGAAGTAGAAATATTATGTAATTGTAACTTTATTATTTTAACATTTTATTATTTTAACAAATCAGTCCGTTTTAACCTTCAATATTATAATAATGTAGTACAGTATATTTTACAGCATAAATTGAGAGATTTTTTTTCCTTGAGAAAATTTGGCATGTGCTGTACCTGATACATATCCAAAATAATTGATATTGAATCGAATCGCAAGCTTGTGAATGAGAATCGAATCGTGAAATTTGTGTCAAAACCCAGCCCTAAAATTCATAATTATTTCTATTGTCTTTGAAATATGTACTTAGTGTACTGTTGAATATCCTGATAAGGATTTATCGTAAACTAAAATATAATTGAATGTAATTTCTATTGAAACCCGTATGACACGCATTTAAATATATTTCTAATTGCAATTTAGTACATCAAAAATATATAAATTTTAAATGTCAAATAACACACTACGGTTAAAATTATAAACCAAGTACATGTACTTTAACAAAAAATAAGTGTACATCTTTGAAGCACGATTATTAAAACATTTCAAATCTACTTTTAATAAAACAAATTTGACATATTACAAAGCACACTTTTTAAAGTGCACTTAAGTGTATGAAGAAGCAGACATGAACTTGTACTCCTTACTTAAACCTAAATGGCCTTTTAATTAAAGTACAGTTTAAAAAAAATACATTTATACTTTTAAGATCTAAAGTATGTTACAAAGTGCACATTTGACACAATTAAGCACACTTTTTTCCCCACAAGTGTATACTTGTAATACTGTTTGTTAACCACAGACACAGACTGACCTTATGAGGAGGTCCCGCAGGTAAGCAAACTCACAGTGGGCAATATTCTCAACTATAGACACCAAAACACAGCAGAAACATGAGTTACAAACAGAAGACAAAGAGCAATAAACAGATCAATTCAGTTTTCCTCTCTAGCCATTTGGAGCAACATAAAGCAATAACCGCTTGTTCACTAGGTGGAGCTGTTGCAGGTATACTCGGGGGGGAGGTGGACAGAGATGAGACATTATCACCTCAATCTCTAGTAATTCAATTTAAACCGAAGCCTTCCAAAAAAGATAACCCTGAGAGCCTGACAAATTCGCTGTGACAAATCCACAGCTGCCTGGATGTGAAAAAATGTTTATGAATTATAGATTACGTCAAACTCCATGAAACAGAACAAGAAAGCCACCATGGAGTAGACATCCAGAGCAGGAAATGAAAGGTTTTCAAAGAGAGACTTTAATAAGAGTAGTCAAGCTCTTCAAAAAGATTACAGGATAAATTACAGAGTCATTTGACTCTCAAAACACCTCACCAAAAATTACAGTTTTTACTATGTGAGCTGCTAAGTACATCAACCACCCAGATAGTTACTATTCAAACAAGGTTGTATATTACTCTACAACGGCAAGTCAAGAAGTAGCAATATTGAATCGAATCGCAAGCTTGTGAATGAGAATCGAATCGTGAAATTTGTGTCAAAACCCAGCCCTAGTCCATTCCCCTTTTTGGGACTGAGGGGGTTGTTTCCCTTTATATTGGTTCTTTTTAGAAATTGATTACGAGCCGCTTGTAGACGTTTTTTTCTGTTACTTTGAGATGCTACAATAGTGCGTTTAGTGTAGTCGAGCTATAACTCGTGAGCTTTTTTCCTCTTTCTGAGACGACATGCCTGGAGGTTAACCGCTTGTTTGTTTCCATATTGTGTTCCTGCACAGGTCCATGAGCAATCGCCCCTCAAGGTGAAGAACTTCGGCATCTGGCTGCGTTACGACTCCCGCAGTGGGACCCACAACATGTACCGCGAGTACAGAGACCTGACCACGTCTGGAGCCGTCACTCAGTGCTGTGAGTATCACAAACACACTCGTTCAGCATGCACACACAAACCCAAAGGTCATTTCCTCCCAGTGTCATGCCCTTGCCATGTGTGCACAAAGAAAAACCGAACCTTGTCGCCTTTCGTAAGCTGTCAAACGTGCCGCTGAAAGTGAAATCAAGGTGCGACATGTGACCCTGCTGCACGAGATGCTGCTCTGTGTTTTAACTCTATAGTAAATGTCACGTATTTGATTTGTGCTTCAGATCGTGATATGGGTGCCAGGCATCGCGCCCGCGCTCACGCCATCCAGATCATGAAGGTGCAGATCATCGCAGCCAACAAATGCCGCAGACCCGCCATCAAGCAGTTCCATGTGAGTTTGC